GAGATCAGAGGGAATTCTGAGATCAGAGACAAAATTCTGAGATCAGAGGGAATTCTGAGATCAGAGACAAAATTCTGAGATCAGAGGGAATTCTGAGATCAGAGACAAAATTCTGAGATCAGAGACAGAATTCTGACTTTTTTTTCTAATATTATACCGAAATAAAATTTAAAAATCAGTTACATTTTTTAATGTTCTCAGTAGCTCTAATTCTCTTCCGTATATTTTATTTTTGACTGTTCAAAACCCTTTTTATTTTACAGCCATAAAATTTCCCCGGGCTTTTTTAATAGACCGGTTGGCATCTCTCATGTTGTTGCCGCTGATTACGTGAAACCAGGAAGGTAGTAAATCTCAGGCTTTAACAAGCAGCGCTACAGGAACAACAGCACGGTTGGTTTCTGTGTTTTTGTTTCTCAAAATAGACTCATGTGGCAGCGAGCCAAAAAAAAAAGACTGAACAGAAATCCTACAAACACGCAATACGACACGCGAAGACATGAATACACATAAAACGAAATATTTTTAAAAAATCTGAATCGATAAGGTTAATTATAAATATAATTAAACTGATTGCATAGATGAAATGTAAATAAAGCAATGGAGTTTGTCAATTACATATTAAAATCAAACCAAAGCCCTCCTTTTGATGATAAATAAACACCCGTTTATTAAAACAGTCTCACTGAGCAAAAACCTAAACAGTACTAAATGTCACTTCTTTCCCAGTCCAGAGCCATTAAGGCGCCGTCTCTGTCTTTAGTTTAACCCGGATCTCACCTGTATCTCTGTGGGTTCCACCTGAGCTTCTACCTGCGCGCTAAACGCCGCGTCTCTCGGCGGGTTTCTGCCATCTGGCTCTGCCTCTGAACTCAGACACTTTGCGTCATGTTGCTTTTTCCGAAGTAGGTAAAAACCCGATGCCGTGAGTGCGGAAAGGTGACAGCAGCGTGCGTAGGACGTAATGATGGGCGTGGCCTACCCGACAGGTACGAACCAAAAACCCCGCCCCCTCGTGTCAAAGAGATGGCGGATGGTTAAATTGCTTTATTTATGTATTCATTTTTTAATTTTATTTATTTATTCATTTTATATATATATATATAGCCTATATATATATATATATATATATATATATATATATATTTTTTTTTTTTTTTTTTTTTATAATAAAAAAAAATAAAATAAACTTCTTTATTTTTTTGCTCTTTTTTTGACTAACACTGGCAGAGTTTTGAAATATATTTTCTATGTTATGCTGCCCTAAAACCTGGAGAAAATATTACCTATCAAGTACGAAAAAAATAAAATAAAACCAACCATTACTCAGAGGAAAAGGTAGGTGCTGGCTTCATGGGCGGTTGTTTCTGGTCCCTGTTATCGCCCCTGTGTACTTAAGACATATTACTAAAATAAATTCTAATGATGATATAATAAAGCAACCTGTTTTGGCATTTACTTAATCATTTTTAGTTACTTTAACACAATTGTTTCATGTTAGCAGGGTAGGACATAGGTTTCTGATAGGTCCTTTAATTGGATCTATTTCATTTTTTTCATCTTAAAAGGATTCTGTTTTACTAATTATCTAAAAACAAAAAGGTGACAGCTTCAGTGGTATTGAGATAGGATCACAATTTTCATCTGCTAAATGTTTTAAAAAATATACTCTAAGTTTTACAGCTGAATTTATCAGTTTTTCTTGAGCTCTGATTCTGATTTTTATAGAAAATGATAATTTTAACTTAAATGAAGTTAAAATACGTAAAATTCCTAAATTATGAATTAATATTGACCAAATATTTTGAATAATAGCTTTGTTTGATCTTTTAGATATTTATATAGCTACAATATTTTGAGTTGCTTTTTTGCTATGCTAAGGGATTTTAAGGATAATCCAAATGAACATTTTCAAGCCAAAAATAAATATTTTTAAGTTGGAATACATATAATTTTAATTAAACCTAATTGAATGGAAATTTGACTTTATGCAGCTCTCTTAATATATTTGAATCCCCTGCCCTGTTTTGTTTGTTTCATGCTTTTGTCTGCCCTTAACTCCCTGGAACATTACGTCAAGAACCGCCACTGGTATTCCTATGTGTGGGAAAAGTAATGAAAGAATGTTGCACTTTTAAGCACACAGCATCAGTATTTTGACACATAGTGTAAATATTAAATCCCTAAAAAATGTAACAGTTAATAGTTTCAACTGAGGAAGGAAGTCAGTGTACCCAAAAAGAACAACACGCACACATAAGAACATTTGGAAAGACCTGGGGAAGAAAATCAAGGATATTATTACTAAAATGCAATAAAAATACAATATATACTGTTATGCAGTTCCATGAGTAATGTAGTCACCTCCACCAGGAACTGAACTGAAATCCTACTAGCATTCTCTGCTCCAGAGGTTCTCAAACTTTTTGGTTTCTGGCTCACAAGAGGCGACTCATGACCTAAACTATTGGCTGAGTAGAAAAACACTTCTATAATAAAATTTACTCTGGTGCAATAACATCCAAAATGCAACAACCCAAGCAGTTGTGTTTGACAGTTATTTTATACAAATGTTTATTGTATATTTTAATTTCTATAAAGGATCTATTGACCTCATATTGGTTGAATAAGGACTTTAATTGGGGTCATTATCCCAGACCACTGGATAAGAATGAAATGAATACCGGTATTTAGAAATGGTTTTGTAAATAAATGTATGAACTGCATTTATTTGTCTCTTAACATTCTCCATCAAATTTACCATTTGTATGTTGGTTTGTTTGTTTATAGATGTTGGAGATCGGCCTGTTTTTCAGTGAAGTCCTGTTTCTCTGACTGTGACTGGCTGGATATGCTCTCCTCGTCCTCCTGTGTGTTTCCTGGATGGGTCGCCTTTTACAGCTGCTTTTTGTTTCTCTGCTTCTGTCTCCTTGAACTCCAGTCGGCCTCAGCAGATGGCCGCTCACACTGAGCCTGGTTCTGCTGGAGGTTTCATCCTGTTAAAAGGGAGTTTTTCCTCTCCACTGTCGCTACAAGCATGCTTAATGTGAGGGATTTCCTTCTAGTCAATGAGTTGATGCAATCAACTGGTTTTCCTTAGATGGAAAAATTTTAATCAATTTCACTGTATGATCTGATGAACTGTAAAGTGCCTTTAGATGATGTGTTGTGAATTGGCGCTATATAAATAAACTGAATTGAATAGTTAGCATAAATAATTTGATTAATTTCTTGGTCAAAAAAACTACAATACCTTAAATTGTTAAACATTCATGAAGGTAAATATATATATATAATTCTGTTCATATTATTGGGTATGTCTAAAAATAAGCTCTACCTTCCATGTTTATAAAAACAAATATCTAAGCACATTGGCTTTGTCTCCCCTTAGCGGTTTAACATTAACAGAAACCGGTGAGCTTTTATTGTTCGGTTTTTGTCAAGTTTAACTGGCCCTCCTGCTCATTGAACAATGAAAACGTTTCGGTCTGTGGCGTTAACAGAAAAAACACAAACATTCACGCATCTGTAATTCATCTTTGCCTAATTGAACTTCTGATTTATTTTTTTTCTGTTCGTTTAATTGTTTTAATATTAGAAATGTTACATTTGTCGTCATTTCTGGAGTAAAAATCAAATATGGATTCAGCATTATTATTTAGGAAGCCGTGAAAATCATGCAGTCCCAGAAATAAAGAAATGTATATTGATAAATATGCTGACAAGTAGCTATCTCAGGGTCTTATGTGGTACCAGAAGGCCTCATTAAAAACTACTGTAGAGTTCTTCAGCCATTTCAATGTCATTTTTACAATGTCATTAAGGAACATCAGAAATTCAAAAGAAAAATCCTTTAAACTAATTTAAATGTGTGTCTTGTTTGTTGTTCTTACTTTTTATGCCTAACATGGAGCATCAGAGTTTAAGATAAGTTAGGAATTCTTTTGGACCTTTTGTATTTGGGCTATTTTTATATAAACTGTTCCAGTTGTTGACTAAGGTTCCTCATCTCAACGTCATCGGCAAAACTAGCAAATCTAGAACAACTGTAGGGAACCTACATTGGACAATCTGAATCAAGGGAATTGCCTTCTGGAAGAAACTGCCCCCTTGCATTATTGTCACTTAGTAAACCAGGACAGTTTTAATCATCTTTTATACACAGGTATCATGCAGAAGTTTGGTTGATCTGAAAAAAAGACAGTGTTCATTGAGTTTGGATCAAATCATGTTTATTAATGTGTTCAGGAAATCCCCACGGAAACAGTTTACAGGGGAACTTACAGATTTACAATCATCCTTGACAGAAGTGCCAGCTTTTACCCCCATGGTTCAACACTGAGGTGGCCTGCTGAGTCTCAGCACCAGGTAACTGCACACAGATTCCCCTCGACAGGTCTACCACCAAGTCCGTACTTCTCTCTGACAACAGGAGGAGGAGGACTGGTGTACTCCTCCATTTTAAAGTACGCAGCAATATAACCGAGGAGTACCGGCCTTTAGACACCCAGATATTCCAGCCATTTTTCCCTTTCTTCTCGTCTAGACCGTTCACAGTTAAAGAGCCTTCATTTTTTTTTTTTTGGTGCCAATCCTTCATCCCGAGAATGAAAAAAATCAAAACAGCTGGATGCTTACAGGTTTCAAAGTAAAACTGTCAACCGTTGGCGAAAAAAAGGAAAATAGAAATATCAGCTCAGGCCCTCAGAGATGCTCTCAGTATGCCCATGTTCAGGATTTGTCATGCTGCTCAAATGCTTTTGGTTCAGCAGTCATTTTACAATAGAAATGCTAAAACTATGACAGGAAAATAAACATGTAACATCTCTTGAAAGGAGAATAATATGAAGCTCTTGTTTTCAGGCGAAAATATGACAAGACCGTCAGAATGATTCAAACTCAAAAATCCAATTTATACTAGGAGAACTAAAGGAGGGCTAGCAAGGACGCTAAAAAGCATGAAGGCTGCACACGAAAACAAGTTTTTATTTCACTTTAAAGATCGCTGGCCTGTCCTGTGCTTCGGGGAGGAGTTAGTGTCCATGGAGAGCCATCAATAATAAGAATAATCTGCTTTATTTCCAATATAATAATGAAACAAACAGCATGATTTTCAAATGACACTAGAATGACCGAGGATGAACTGCCTTTTTTTTTGTGTTTTAACACTTTTTTTGATTTGCTTCGACCTGATACAGGTTAAGATGCAATTTACTGAATCTCTTATAGGTGGGTTTTCAAATCAAGGAGGTTAAAATGAAACATTTAGCATTTAATCTACACTGGCTGAGCACTTCACTTAACAGATCAGACTAAAAGGAGGAGGGGGAGAGCTTACACCCTTGCTCTTTCTTAGCCGTATGAAAACCATGCTTCCTCTGCAGACTTGGGATGGGGAGATGGGAGGGGGCCGTGCAAGACAGAGTGGGGGGGGTTAGGCGGTGGGTGGAGAGGGTCTTGAAAACCGGACTGCTGATTCCACAGGAGGTGTGTAAAAGGCACGCCAGGGTTACTCCCAATCCCAGCCGTCACACACACGTAGTTTCACGCCCACACGCACACTCACGCTTGCTGAACACACACGCATTCACCCTTATACTCGCACACAACCCACACACAGACACAAGCAGCACAGGCTCGAGCCCCAAGAGTACAGACCAAGAGGAGAAAGCAGGAAGGAAGTTCTCGAAAGAAAGAGCTGGGTCTGGGAACTGGGGGGAGAGAGAGATGGTGCAGAGGGGCCGGGATCCGGTGCTGCAGCGGTGTCGGAACAGAAAATAAAATAAACCACAAACAGGAAAAAAAATAATAAACCAAAGAAAAAACAAAACAAAAACAGTTGGAATGGATCATTTCTGGTTTTTCAGCTGGTTGGAGAGCCAGTCCAGGCCCTCGTAGAGGCCGTCTCCGCTGGTGGCGCAGGTGGCCTGGATGTACCAGCTGCGCTGACGGAGAGCATGGAGGCCCAGCTTGTCTGTGATCTCTGCAGCGTTCATGGCGTTGGGCAGATCCTGGAGAAGGGGACACACACAGTGATGAATATGGCTGCTCATACTGCTAGAAAACACACTGACTGGGAACAGTTTTAACCCTCATGATGAATAAATAACTCTTAGGAAGCTTCTTCCACATAACTTCATAACTACTGTAACCATCTATGAGATCTGATCAGTCTACTTAAAGAGGGATGTAGTCAGCAATTTAAAAAATGTTTTCAAAACTATTTTATGGCTTTAAATTGTGCCTTTGATTCATTATGAATTTGTGAAGAAGTAGAAATCTGCTCATCTGTTTTTTTTTTTAAATCACAAAGTTCAAGTGACATGAAAATGTATCAAAAAGTGACTCCACCTGTTTATTTGCAAAAACCAGCAGCACAGCGTCTCTCAGTTCGTCCTCGGCGAGCATTCTGGACAGCTCCTCCCTTGCCTCGTTCACCCTCTCCCTGTCGTTGCTGTCCACCACAAAAATAAGCCCTGCAGAGACAGAAGACATTCATCTGAGCAAACCCACACGAAACATTAGCCAAACTCTCTGATTTGCATTTTCCCTTCATTTCCTCACTGCACACCATTTACTTAACCCCAGCTGGTAATAACTCAGATATTAACCCGAATTATCTGTGACATAGTTAGGAACCTGAAATGTAAACAGACTTGCTGCTTATTAAGCTGTGTAAGTAACAAAAAACTGTCAGTCTGAACAGGGGGCTGAAAGATTTTGACAAAAAAATAATAAATAAATAAAACCAATATTGCAATTTCATTTCTATTTCCTATCCACAAGCATGTAGATGTTTCACTCCAGGGTTTCAGGTTTTCCTTGACTTTGAAAGCTTGCCTGTCCAGAGTCCACCGTTGTAGGACTTTACTGTAACCTTTGTTTGGAAAAGAGCTTATTTGTCTTTGCATGCATAGATCTACATGCTAACTAGAACTTTAAGCATATTATCGCCACCTAAAGGACTGGAGTGAGAAAAAACAATCTTAGTCTTGTTAAATGTAATGTGACTAAAATTCTGCAATTTGAAAAATGTCTTTTGTTAAATTGCGATCAAATTACAAATGCAATTTGCCCAACACAAGTCTGAACCCGAACTGGCCTAAAAATTGTTGAGACTTTTAATGTAGCATTAAAAAAAATAAAATCTGCTCTTAGATCAGTAAAAAACAACCATACAGGTGAAGCAGTTTTCTACTCCACTGTTCTGGTTACTGGAAACATATTTAGGGAGTAAAAACTATTTAGGCTTAATACAACTAAAAACCAACATTTGATAGATAAAAGTCTGGTTTAATTCAGAGCAGAGTAAGAGAAATTCAACTTGATATAAAATAAAGAACAATGTAAATATAAGCAAAATAATGCCTACACTGACCAACACAGCATCAACTGACACTAATTAAAAAAAACATACATGTATTTTTTCTTTTACACCATCCTTATTCAGCACATTCCTTGAATTTTCAAAGATACAGGATAAAACTCTGAGATCAGAGGCAGACATTTGACATGCAGCAAGTTCATTCACAGAGATAGCTTCTAATCTGAGGACATCAGAAGGTAATTCAGTGCGTAACCAATGTTGTGCTAACCGTCATATTGATATTTTAGTTGCAAACATCACATCACACATGGGGGTTCCCATCTTTTCAAAACCAGACAATGAGTCCACTCACTTCTAAGAGCTGGTGCTTAGTCTATACCTGCAGAGCTAAATCCCCCTCAAAAGCGAGTATTTCAGTAGTCCGTTAACCACAGCGAGGACTAACCTGCTCCATCTCTTCAGTTTAAAATCAAGTATTACTTTTTGGCTGCTAAACTGATAATTAGAAAGCATCAAGATGACCAAACTGATCTGACAAGTAGCTGTGAATAAACTAAAACCCTGTTAGCTGGCTAATGTTAGCCTAAACTATAGAAAACCCAGAAAATCAACAAGAACCAAACAAGACAGCAACAACAGTCTAAAGTTCCCTGCCATTATTCTGACTAATTAGATTTCAGGAAGGGAGGAGTCACACAATACATCCTTTGAGAGTGGAACAATGCTGCGTGAGTCACTGCTTCGCTTGCTTTAGGATCATCTCCTCTGCCTTTAGGCAGCAGTGACCAGTGCCTGCTCTAACAGAAGTCCTCACCTTGAGTGTTCTGGAAGTAGTGGCGCCACAGCGGCCTGATTTTGTCCTGACCGCCAACATCCCACACCGTAAAGCTGATGTTCTTGTATTCTACTGTTTCAACATTAAAACCTGCAAAGAGTAGGGAAAAAAGCACCAATGAGTCACTGACGGAAAGCTCTGTGTAAAGTGTTAAAGTGAGAATAAACATGTTGCATAAAGCTTAAAATCCACCTGCAAACAATTTAACACTTCTGAAACTGACAAAAGAACTAAACAACTTTTTTTAAAACCAGTTAACTTGAGCTGGTTAACTGATGTCTGGTTTCAAACATCTTAGGTTATTTTCACTTCTTAATATTACAAACACGGTTAAAAAAAAATGTAAATTGAAAAACACTTCCTTTTTTAGATCTGTTATCAACTTTGTGTGATGTGGCATACAGATACACACTGTATCAACCAGATAAAATGTGATAAGAACATTTGTCTTTTGATAAAACGACACATACCAATAGTGGGAATGGTGGTGACTATCTCTCCGAGCTTCAGTTTATATAGGATTGTTGTTTTTCCAGCAGCATCGAGGCCGACCATTAAAATTCTCATCTCCTTTTTGCCAAACAGGCCCTTGAACAAGCTTGCAAATACATTCCCCATGGTGGCAAAGCTGTAAAAGAAGAAAGGAAAGCGGTTAGCAGGGTTACATCGTTAGGATCCTACCGTTTTCTTTAGCATTCATCAATTAGAAAAGAAGTGATCTCTAATTAGAAAAAGTATTCAGGAAAACAGTGAGAGTCAATTCTGTCCCACAAAGAGGAAATAATGCAAGACAAAAAATATATAGAATTGCTTAAAGTACTTCTGTTAGGGCAGAAACAATAAGCTTGGGGAACCACATTTCCGCTTCTTTTTAAAACTATACTACTAAACCTCATACTAAACTATATGAGGTGGCCATCTTGGGAAAAAAACAAAAAATTGGAAACGTATAACAACAAAACATAATTATTTGATTATTAAACTTCATAATCCATCTTAAACATCTAACCGTCATGAATATCAAGTTAGAATGCAGCAGTTAAGTAGAGTACACAGTTTATGGGAACACCATGTACAAAATTGCCCTGGATCCCCATTTCTGCCAGAAATTTAACAGTTATTTACTAACACAAACAAGTTTAGCACCTAAAACATCATCTCATTCCAAACATATCTGTATCAGAAAAGGTCCATCACAACAACACATTTACTTTGAATAAAGAAAAAAAAATTTATCAACATTCAACACCAAGGTTTCCATTTAGAGAATGTTTAATTCTAACACCTTCTTGAAATCAGGAAAACTCCTTTTAAGTTGGGAGAGTTTATAAAGTTTTAGTAGAAATCAGAATCAGACATACTTTAATAATCCCAGAGGGAAATTACTTATGGGTTGAAAACATTTATTCTTCATAATAAACAATTTATTCTAAAAAAAAAAAAATGAAAGCAGATTGAACATATCTATCTTAATAAACAGATATAAGTCTCTATAACTCTATCAGAACCTAATACAAAATATTGTTATACCTACTGAACATTTAGTTTCAGCAGCAAATCAAAGAAGCTCTACATGAACATTTTCACCTTACCAAAAACGATGCTTGACATTTTCTATTGAAACACCTTTTAAAAAGTTATTATATTACTTTTACTTAGAGATTTTGCACTGATTAATATTTAAATTAAGACCAGGAAGAAAAGAAAAAAAAAACACTCGAACTTCCTGATTTTTTTTTTTATGAATTAGTTTCTGAAATTTAATGGGGAAAAAAGGCACTAATACATGTATCAATTTCCTTCATCCCAATAAAGTTAAGATTTAAAATATAAGCTAATACCCATTTGCTTACTATGGTTGCAATTATTCTGTATAACCTATGTATAATGATTTTGAATCATAGGTTATTTTGAAAGAAAAACCTTAAAGACTTTGGTAACATCGGAAAGAGAAAGGATTTTATTCAAGAAGGATCAAACAAAGATTTAGACTATTACGCTCTCTAAAACATTTTGTTCCGTTTAAACGAGACGTCGTTTCACGCACTGTTGACATTTAGAGACAATCAACAATTTTAGGACATTTGCTAGGTTCTGATTCTTCTATCGGATGTTTATCCATCTTTCATGTGACACGAACACACAGCTATATGTCCCTTTGAAACAGAAAGGGGAATGTGAGAGAAACTAAGACGGATTTCATAGGCCGCTACTCTGATCCAGCTTTCGTTCACCCGGATAAGCTTCGAAGCTAACAAGCTAGTTGATAAGATAGGCCCGCTCCGACTGTTAAACTCGGCAATGGTTATACATATATAGAGAAAAATTGCTCTCGGTTATTTGGTAATAGCGCGACCTAAAACCCAAACAAGTGTTTTAGGATGACAGGGTGTTAAAGTATGCAAAAAAAGACATTTATCAAAAGTAAACGACAGGTAGCTTTAGCAACGTTAGCTTCCATAAGGGCGGATGCATTGGCTTACTGTTAACTAGATTCGGTAACAGTTTTAAAGGCAGCGCTGTCGGAAGAAAACCAACACATTACCGAGATTTCCAACACTTGGTCTGAAATCGGAGTTGCAATCAAAGCCAAGGTCGGTAAAGGGATCCCACTGTAGCTGTTTTCAGGTGGGCCGTGACAGGAACTGCCGTAGCGCGCGGCGGCTAACTGCCCTTAGCGAACTGCCGCGTCACTGTTCACAGAAAACAGTGACGTCACTCAAAAAGCCTCTCAAATCGACTAATTCCAACATAAACATATAAAACACACACAAAGCGACATTTGAGTACAAAAAGATTGTCTCTACTCTATATATTACCTTTAGAGAGACAGCAACCCGATCTTTGCGTTATCTTTCTCTGCCACTCCAAAATGGCGTCTTGCGCAACCAGGGAGACACCGGCGTACTTCCCAGTTTGAAGCCACGTCCAATCACAACACAGATAGTGTAACTGATAACCCGCCCTGGTTCTCTATCGGTCCAATCAGGGCGACGACACGATCGTATGCGCACGGTGCACAAAATGTCGAGGAAGTGATGTAAGTAGGGCAAGTCAATTTAATACACAATGCTATACGGGATCTTTGGTTTCATTAATTCAGAGAATAATATCTGTTACAAAAAATAACAACAAAAACAACAAAAAAACAACATTCAGGGTAAGAAAAATAGGATATAGAATAATATTATGAATTTGTTGATGATAAAATCCTAATAATATTTTCCTGTCTAAGCAATGTCATGGGAAAAAAATTTTACTTAGTCGAAATAACTTTTGTAATTGTTTTTCTTTTTTTTTTTCTTTTATTTGACATATCTTTATCTTTTTGTATTTGTCAAATTCAGCTTAGTTTTTGATCAATATGGCTACATCTGTCTGGGTTGTTCTTAAGTATATCTGACTGACTTTTACTGGAGTAAAAGAATTCAGTCGACATCAGAAAATTGATAGGTTTTGGTTAAAAATTTGATAACGAAAAGGAATTATATTTGATGTCATTAACACAGTTCTAAATAGCAAAAAAAAAAAAAAAAGAATTATATTTGATGTCATTAACACAGTTCTAAATAGCAAAAAAAAAAAAATTATGATCTATTTTAATTATACATTTGCTACTGGTTAAAAAGCCATTGAAATCATCAATAGTTTTAGTTAAAACAAGCTAAATGACCACGTATCTTTAAATATTTCTTTTGATGCTCAAAGAGCTTGAGAGGATGTATGAATGAGAAATCAGACCTTTTCATTCTAAATGGAATTTATTGCTAAACCTACAGCCTTAATTGCGTGATAAAAGTACTAAGGAAAACCATTATTGGACATTGCCAAAATGCTAACTCTAGGGGAAAAAAAGAACTTCTGTTTCTTCTAGCCAGGAAAAACTGAGTCTTAATAAATGTCTATACACATCCAGAAAGACCTTTGGAATATCAAATAAAATAAAGCTGTATATATCATGTTGGCCTGATAGTTATTTGAAATATTTCTTATTTCCCTTTTTCCATTATTAAAAGCAGTAATGAGTCATGTGTGGTTTGATTTTATGTTACAACAATCTGCCATACTTGGCCTAACAAGCCATTCCAGTTTTAGGATAGGCACTCCTAAAAGTTGATGATCTAATAGGCCACATTTCCAATTTGACGCTGTACTTCCTGCTGTTCATAGCATGTGGTTTCTGAGAAAGCCTCTGCGAACATCTGCAAATATTTTTGACATTACAAAACCAGCACATACAGCTATGCATGCTGAGTTTTTTTAATTGGCAGCCCCAATAGGGAATAGTACTTCTCTGACGACACAGTTAATATTTACTTTAAACTAAAGAGTTTAGGTCAAGGTGAAACAATGACTGCCAATTTAATTCTCAAATATCAGAAACATTTAAGAGATGTTGACAGAAAATACCATACAGAGATAAAAGATCCAGCTGTTTTACAAATGTACTTAAAGGTCACAAGGGTCAGTTAGAGGGCCCTACATGAACCTGAACAGTGACAACACAGACTAAGAGGGGAAATAATGTCCACACAAAATACTAAAGACGAAACACGTGGAAAATGGATAACAAATTGTCATCCCCAAGGTAACTTTAAACAATGGATATATGTATTTTAATTAAGTAATAACAATTATTCAACAGACAGTACAATAATTCCTTGTTACACAATCAGAAGCACAAGGGGCAACAAGAATGGACAGACTATGCCTATTTACAGTCAACAAAAGATGCTAAAGGACCACAATAGCAATAAGACACAGACTGGGTAATACACTACACCCCCCCCCCCCACACACACACACACACATACACACACACACACACTCTGGGAGGAGGATCCTTAATTCTAATCATTTATCATGAAACATGTGACAAGCCACATGATCTCATGTGAATCCTGGGAGTCTGAAAGCCCTGCTTCTTTGGAAGAGCTGTAAACATTTACAATGTGCTATAGATGCAGATGTTTGAGCTCTATTTTAAGCCCTGGTCAGGTGGAACTAACAAGAAAGCATCTAAAGAAAAAGAGAGAGAAATGTTTCAGCTTTGGAGACCGAAGCAACAGAGAAAACAAAGTAGTTCATGCCCAAGGGTTAAAGGGGGAAAAAAACATGAAAGCTTGGGTTTTTAAAACAGCTGGGAGGATTAATGTAGCAGCCGGGGACTAGTTTCTAGATAAAGAATTAAAGTAGGAAAATCTTATAAACTAATAACCAAAGTGTGCAGAGAGGATCGCAACTCACCGTACTGCTATTCATTCACAGTTTACAAGCAATTTGACATGGCTATATTTAGCCAAAAAGTAAGGTTTGCAGATAAAAAAATACAAGAAGTCGGAAACAATAATCTGGCATAATTTTCATGAGAAAATTATTGTTATTGTCAAAGAAACACACTCAGAAATATTAAAGCAGGAGGAAAATTAACATAACTGGGGGAAACAGACAAAAATAGACAAACGATCTATAGAAAATCTACTGTTATTTTATCAATAAATCACATTTATTAATATACCTCATATCATTATGTAAAATATGCATTTTTTCTTAAATACATTTCTAATGTCTGAAAACAGATAGAAATACAAGCCAGGCATCAATGAATAAAACATTGCAGTGTATGACAGAGTATAATCGTTAACAGAACAAACTTTAATAAATGAAAAACATATATATTCCTCTCTGTTCTTCAGAAGGTGGTCTGAATGTTTGTGTAGTTCTCCTAAAAACAGCCAAAGTCCTTGATATGAAACACAACAACCTCTTGAGTTCAGTCAAAATGGTGCAGAACAGATATAGCAACAGTTCTGCTGAGGCTGTAGTGCCTCTGAGGGATGATCAGAACGCACAAATGATCCAACATATATGCAGCAACACACAAATCCCTGCTTGGGTTTATTTAAAGCTGGGCACAACTGGGCACTGAGGTGTGAAAACACAATGCCTGGCCTGATGGATGTCTGCTGAGTTTGCAGAAAGGTGTTTAAAGAGCGAGAATCCTCCACACTGGTCTGTGGCAACAGTCCAACAATGCTGCAGCAGAAAGTTTTCTTTTTTTAAAATGCAACAGTATTACCTTTTTTAAATTTTTTACCACACTCCAGCGAGAGTTGACCCATCATGCTGGACTTGCAGCAGAACCTTATGGGTGCTTGCTGTACATCAGCAGCCTCCACGCTGTGAGAATATCAAAATCAAGATGTCCTGAGGTCCCAGCTCAGATTATTTCAAGCTCTGAGGGTTTTAAGATCTCATGCTGTGTTTTGGAACAAAATTGACCCAGTTGAGCAATAAATGTCTCATTCTCTGAGCTCCAGCTTCCCATCTTGGACTCTCCAGCTCCAGCGCTGACATCTGTCAGAAGCAGGAACACAGCGGAACCATGATCCTGACTCAGTGATTTCCTTCTCAAAGGAAACCGTCTTTCTGTCCAGAGTCTCCAATGTAAAAGTCTTCCCTGAGATCTGAGAGACACATGGGATTAAGATCAGCTGGGTTTCAAATGTCAACAAGCTGAATTATATATTGTCCTGTAAGCATCTTATAGTCACGGTAAAATTAACCAAACCCCATTAAAAAATAGGATTATAGGCAGAATTTAGCATTGTTTAAGTGACAATAAATTTACTGCAATTAAAGGTTCATGTCTGAATTCCATGATGTGCACCACTACTGACTCAGAACTACAGGAAAACTAAGCACACTATAAAAAAATAAGCCAAAGAGCTTTTAAGGTTCTGCTTCATTCAGCGGTTTTTCATAAACAAACTCGTCAGGCCTAGGATCATTTATTTTTCAACTATAAGAAAATCCAGCAGTAAAATAAATTATCTTTTGCATGCAGACATACATGCATACATTCACCAACCCATCCTGTGAAATTGTAAGAAATGATTTTGTCCTCAGATCTGTCAGCACCAGTTTGCTGGTATTGTCATTTGACACAGTGATAACGAATAACACAAATTAACAAGAAAATGTATAAAGAAGCATCATTGTGGGAAAAAAAGGCCTACAACTGCAGAATGCAGCGCTGCAACAATAGAAGTCTGGTTTTCAAAAAGAACAGAAAAAAAGGAGAGATGGAGAAAGACTTCCAATACGTGGCCCAGTTTTCTGAGAGAGGTTTGTTACCCGAGTAGTTTAAATTAACAGTAAATTATTAACCTGTTCGGTAAAACAAGGTAGCTGTTTGCTCGCTACAAATACTTAGTTAATCCCCCTTAAGGTCAGAGCAGAATCACATCATTGATGATGCCAGTTGGTTGGGTACTGCTGTGCATCTTAAGCTGAAAATTATCATAAGGTTTTTGTTTTCTTTTAGTTTTTTTGCTGTTTGTTTTGTTTTTAATTTTCAATAAATTAATCCAGGATTAATCCAGCATTGGCAATGAGCCTATCGCATGTCTGTAACTAACACAGAGGCCAAGCAACTGAGCCAGAAAGCTCACAGAGCTGAGAATTTACATTGATACTAGCAGACCAGGCAACAGGGAAACACCATAGTCTTCAGAGGGTTACCATCACTTCAGGGCTAGTAAATGTTTGACAGAATATTTTAACTGTCTTTGTCCCTTCTTCTTCATCATGTAAACATATGAAACACCAGCAGCACCTCCGTCTCTTCACCCCTAACACCCCCCTCCCTGTCCCAGCGAAGAAGTTGAGCTACGTTGTGATCAGATACATACCATCAGAGACATAAGTTTTAATTTAATCTCTTAAATTAAAACTTAAATTAAACAATGTTAATTTCAGCCATTAAAAGGCATATATAAACCCTGATCATTCTCATGAACAGCCTGAAGCAGCCAATACAGCAATCAGCAAATACACGTGTTATACGTGAACAAAAAATAAGCATAAAAGCAATCTGTCCTTTAGAGTAACAGTGAAACCTATCATTTGCAGAAGTGGGTTAAATACTAATAATTGTACTTAAGTAAGAGTAGCACTACTGAGTGAATGAGGCAATAAAGATACTTTTTTATGAAGAGCTTGAATTTGGAGAAACTGATTTCATGATGAGGACTGTTTCTGTTGTATTAAGATGTAAAAAAAAATATTTAAAAATTTATAGTCATTCTTTGGAGTTTAAAGCTACCTTCAGATAAAGATCCATCAACTTCTGTTCAAGCTTTAAGGTCAATGCTAAGAAGCTGATAAGGTGTTTTTTTTTACCAGTTAATTGTTTCTGAAAGTGTGATGTCAGTTTTGAGGTTAGATTATACTTTCATTTGTTTTCTGTATGAAAAATGTGCTTTTATCAGTCTGCTAAAATATACTAATCTTAAATGTTGTATTAGTTATAGGTGGAAAATCATCATAATTAACAGAAATAAAGCTTTTAAGATGTGTAGTTATTCTGTTTCAATGTGAATACATTTACAGAAATCAATGAACCTCTCAGTAATGGTGTTATTTATTGAAATGCACGACTAGATCTACCTCTAATGTGGATTTATATAAACCACCATACAATTTAGAAAGAAAATAACAACAACGCTGATGCAGTTCAAAATATACAAGGGAAATTATGCTGACTCAGTGTGACAGGCAGTTTGGGATTCATGTGTGTTTTATGGAGTTTGGAAATTATTTATGTTTCTGTTGGTCTTATGGTTGTCCTACACTGCAAAAAAATCTAAATCTAAATGAGTCATTTTTTTCTTAAAACAAGTGCAGTTTTCTTGATTTGAGAAGGAAAGTGAGATATTTTGCCAGTGTAACAAGAAAATTGACATTTAAAATAAGAAAAAAAATGCATTGCCTTATTTCAAGTGCATATTATCTAACTATCTTATTTTATGAGTAAAATTACTCATTCCATTGGCAAATAATCTTAATTACCTGCTCAAATTAAGGCTAAATACACTTAATTAAAGACATTTTTACTTATTCCTAGATCTTTTTTCCAGTGTTTCTGTGTTTAATCATATTTCTCTTCTGTTTCTATTTTCTAAGCCCCTATCCAAATCTGGTGATCCCTTACTTCCATTTCACCCCTTTCAAACCATTTCTTACTTCAGTAATACTGATGAACCTCTCAGAATCACACTCATACCTGGTTACTGATTCCTATGGCAACATGACCCACTTTGACCCTCCGCCGTTCTCGGATCCGGAAACACTCCCCTTGAGTGTTCTCAATCCAGATGTCAACACCTGCAATATTTTTTTTTAATTCAGCCAATCATTTAAACAGTATGCCAGTATATGCAATGAAGTTACCCTCAAAGCAGTGTGAAGAGGGCTGATCAGCTGAAGGTATCCATGCCAACTGTCTGCCAGAGTGACTGTTGCAGGAAGAAAACACTCCAGAACTGAGGTCATCGGATGAGTGTTCTGACTCCTTAAAAAAACATAAAAGATTTTTGAAAAAGTTTCTTTAATGGATTTTTTTCATCTTCAGATACAAGTACAGTATTGCACCTCATCTAACTGCGATGTGTCCGAGCAGCTGAAGCAAGATGGAGGTTCATCCCGAGGTTCTGGGGACAGAGTCTGGACTGTGGTTCCTACAGGAACATCTGAAAAGGACATTTTACAGCAAGGGCTTAGAGTTTAAACCATTAATGATTCTTTTTTTGTTTTTCCCTCAAAGACATCAGGGTTAGCAATAAAGACTGAATACATACATAATAAAATATGTTTTTTTAATGATTTTGCAGCAATTATAAACCTAAAGGTAATCAAGTATTAAATAAGATACCTTCAAAAGAATGGTATGCAGGACTTTAATGTCAAAATAAAAGAAAAAGCTGATTGATTGTAAATACATTCATTTTCTGACTAATTATGTTGAAAGTTGAGTATTTTTTCTCTTTACAGTATTTTTTTCTTACTTTTGTGTTTTGTCCTACTTCCCCACTTCAAGCTCACAAAGTCAAATTTAAATCCTGTTTCCTTAATAATCCCTCCAAATCAGGATAGTTTTGTGAAAACCTGAAGTATAGCAATCTAACTTTTCACATTTCTTCCAACACATTTGAGGATGCACAGAAAAAAAAAATCACAAATCTACATTTTACATTTTATGTTTCCTGAGTAACATAATGCAGACTGAAGGGCTGGCCTCTTTAGCAATCATTTTTCTCAAGAAGTTGAATGTTTTACAGCTTGTCACAAATTATTAACAGCTGTAACTATACTCACCATCCCTGAGATATTCTAGCTCCGCCTCTGAGCCCCATGAAGCTTCATCTGTTTGCAGCCCTCTGCGAAGCAAAGGGAACATGTCTCGGAGCGTACGGAGGTACTCTGAGGAGGCAGAGGAGTCCCGCTCTTCATCCTCCTCCTCCCAATCTCCCTCATAGTCTTCATCAGTTTTCAGCCACTTGTCCTGCATGCGCTCCTCATCCTCTCCTATGTATATGTCCACTTCTGACTCAGAGTCGTTGTCCTGCTCTGGTTCATACATGTAATCATCTCGCAGTGACTTGGGGTGGGAGTCCCATTCCCCTGCTATGGACTCTGTCTCTGAGATGTCACCTTTCCCCTCAGTGGTGTCCTCTTCCACTGCCACTGTCCTCCACGGGCTCACCCACATCATGGCCGGATCCGGGGAGGTGGTTTGGGGTGATGGTTCTCTCAGAGAAATGAGTTTGTCTTTATGTTGGCTATGATGCAACTTCTCACAGGCAGTTTTGACAGAGGAAGGGCTAAGACCACCAACTGTGTGGGGAAAAAAATCACATAAAATAATGCAGATCATCACATGAAATAATGAATCCGAATTGTATTTAATTAATTGCTTATCCCTTTTATAGTGCAAAGAAATGTCTTGAGTTTACATTTTTGTTAAGCTAAACAACATTTTAAAATACTAGGTAACCATTTTGAAAAGGTGAATTATTAGATTAGATTAGATTACATTACATTACATTAGATTCAACGTTATTGTCATTACACAGGTACAGGTACAAGTTATTATGGTGATAATCATTCTTATTAGAGTAAACACTAATTAATATTTATCATGGCAATAAAAAATGCTTTGTTTTGATGCATTCCTATTTCCTCTAAAATTACATATTACTTTTTACTGTTTATATATTAACAAATATCTACGCAACATAGAATTTTTTTTTTTGCATTTGGTGTAGCCTTGAGATCTTGAATAATATCCAACTTGTAGGGATTTGAGTGAATGGAAATATTTATTTATTTCTCCCTTACTGGGTGAATTAGGTATAAACCGTCAATATTTAATCTACAGAACATGCAAGGATCTCCGTTTAGGCTAAGAGCTAATCAGTACAAGCTGCTGCCTAGAATCCAACTAACAACGTCTGAGATCCAAGAGCTTCCAAAAGTCTAATTAACAGCTCCTTAAGATGAAATGAGAATGAACTCAAAATAAGCTAAAAACTGCACAGATTTAAAAGATATAGAGGACAATCCTTTATATCCGGGTGGCTCATCTAACTAAGTGGTCCTCCTAGTTGTCAATCATTCTAGTGATATGTTTATGTAAGGTCATCCTACGTGCTTGTCTCATTAGCTATATTGTTCTGTGCATGTAACCTTTCAGGCGTATATCTGTGGTGAGCTATAGTCATTGAATCTCACGTTTCTCACCACGTTTTTTTTTTTTATGGCTGAGGGTCATAAGAGAAAAAGTGTCTACCAAGTGTATGAGAAGAAAAGTAAGGCCTCAGTAGAGGCCGATATATCCCATTATGCTTTGCGCTGAGAGCTCTCCTCGCAAAGCATTATGGGATTATTCTGTCACAGCTGCCCGCTGTCGCCATAGGCTGTCGCTACCTGACAGCTGCGACTAATAACAAAGATGGCGCAGGCACCGTGCGGTGGAAGAAGAGTTATTAGAGCAACAGAGCAAAAAGCAGCAATTATGTGTCTGAACTGTGAGCTAGTATCTTGTTTTAGGGGAAACTCCTCTTTCCTATGCAGACAATCTTATTTACCTGCTCAAATTAAGGGCAAATATGCCCATTTTAAGAAACTTCTACTTTTTTAGATAATCTTTTTTGCATTGTAATGCTAAATTAGGTTCTTATTATAGTAAGTAAATGAGAACTGATTTGTCCCTTATGCCAATTTAAATTTTACATTTTACTTGAGCAATTATTTAGAAACAAAGTATAAAGCGCTTGATCTGTTATTTTTTTAAACTTTTTTTTTCTCCTTGAAGAAGTATAGGCCCCACCCTGGGCCCCTGCTAAATTCTAGAACCACCATTAGGTAACGTTAACCACATTATCCCACATTAACCATTTAGTTGAATCCCAGTCTTCTTGTTTACATGTAATGTGTTAACCTGCTCTGAGGGCTTTGGTAGTTTTCCTCCTCAGGTCCTTGGCCGACGCTCGTTTGTCCGGGTCTTTCTGCAGACCGGCCCTAAATACATTGGCTGTGAAGTTGTTACATTTGGACGGAACCTCCCACAGAGGTGGAGGTTCATTCGCAATCTATAACATAGATAAAAGAAGAACCGAGTGGATTGAGTTCCTATTCCTTCCATCTCCCTCTGACAGAAAGAAGAAGATATTCTGACCTGAAGACACAGTGGGGGGGAATAGAAGCGTATCCATGGCTGGCATCCATTGAGCATGTGCAATAGCATACAGCAGCTGCTCCACACATCTGCCTTGGGGCACACTTGATCTCCCCGCGCCACCTCTGGGGCCATATGGGTCTCTGTCCCGGGAAAGGTTGCTCCTACAGATAGGTAAACTGAGATTTACTCCAAGAAACCAGACCTTTTTCCAACTTTACAAATTGTCTTCAAACAGTTGCATATATTATGTAGTGTTGTTGATATATACCACAACAGGGAGGATTAAAAAATGCTGAGTAAAAAAGCGCTGTAGATGTGTTACCAGAGCAGGAAGAATGAACAAACAAAAGCCAACAAAAAAAAATAGAAGACAACCAGGCAACCAACCCCATCATCATCTAGTTAATGAGCCTCTGTAGATAAATTTGAACATTTTGATTGTATCATTAAATTTATTCAACAGATCAAAAGAGGAACTGATCAGAGTTCCTTTTTTGATATAATTGATGTAAAGAACCCGATTTCGAGGAAACAAAATGGAAACAACTCAAAGAAATGGCCTAAAAATAAAAACATTTTAAATAGAAAATAAACGAATCAGGAATTCCCAGTTGAAATTAATCCGTTGGCCAAAAAATGTACTTGTTTTGTTTCTTGTTTTAATGCCAAAGAAAAAACATGACATCTGTATGGATCTATGCATGTGATGTGCAATAGAAATACATTAAATGCATGCTAAGTTAAAAAGCTGCACAATTTTAAAAGCTGGGGCATCATATCAGAATAACAGTATTCTGCAAAACATAACAAATTCCAAACTTTGTAGAGATTTTAAGACAATAGTTTTCTTCCTCATTCTTAAAAAGAAAAATGATCATTGTGCATTTTCTTGGTAGATATATAGAGATTTACACTGTTTTAGTAAGAAAATTGGGCCTCAGTTTCCCAGAGACGTTTGAGCCTCAACTCACCTCTAAATGCTTTAGTGCTCCATCCACTGTCATCCAAGCTCTCTGAGAGACCAAAGTCACAAAGGAATGTGTCTCTGCAGTCTGCAGACAGCAGCACATTGTCAGCTGGAATTAAAAACAACATACAGGATTCAGTGCGACAGGCTGTTTCCATTAGGCACTCTGTGAACCATTGGGAGCAAACTCTGGAGCAGCAGCCTTTTTCTGGGTCTAAGCTTTTCTTTGGATACTCTAGCTTTCTTTCATTGTTCAAAACCTGAACTTTTATGTTAATTATCCCCCTTAATTACCCCAATTATTGTTGTTTGTCTTGTGGTACCCTGTGACGGACTGGTGACTTGTCCAGGCTGAACCCTGTCATTTACCGGACAGTAAAAATAGACGTTTTTCAGGGTCTATAGGTCTAAATAGAAGGCCAGCAGGTTTCTGTGTGTAATTGTGTAACTTCCCTTCAAGCCATGTCATCTTAAACTTTATTTTTTCCTTATTATTCTGATTTTTAATATTTATGATTTCTAAAAACAGTGAAATTGGTCCAATAAGAAAATAATTTCTTGAAGATTTGTTCACTGTAAAAACAAGGTTAAATAAAACCATTAGTGTTATTTTTTCTTTCAAATAAAACAATTTCATTAAAAACATTACAGTTCATTTAAATTTCCATCAGTAAAACATATATTTATGATAAAAACATAATTATATTCTCAAGTGAGGATCCTCATTTCTAGAATATTCTATATTAGAGACCTTATCTCTCTGTATGAAACAGTGTAATAGTCATTAAAACGACTTTAAAAGTATAGTTTTGATATTGAAAAATTTGCTTTCACACCTTGATGTAATCATTTTAGAGATTCTATATGTATATCTATAAACAGAAACACACCTTTCACATCTAGGTGTACCACCTTCCTGTGGTGCAGGTGCTCCAGCGCCCCCAGAGTTTGATGAAAGTAATGCAAGGCCAGGTCTTCAGGAAGGCAGGTCATCTCCTTTAGAAGCTGGGCTAAGCAGGCTGGAAAGGTTTGGAACATCTGGTTCATTCCTTGGACCAATATTAAAGAGCTTCACAACAGATCGCAGTCTGTTTACCGGGTTTTAGGTCCATGAAGAGAATGACGCTGAGCCCGTCCCTCACTGCCCCAAACAGCTCTACAACTCTGGGGGAGTTCAGAGCACTCCATATCTTCACCTCCTCACTGCTAAAGTGACTTAAGGGAATCTACATGAAGCACAAATTAACAATCATCAACTTTTATGGGAAAATCCAGAAAACCTCTCTGCGTTTCACCTCTCTGATTGCTGTCCTCACCCTTTTAGCTGCACATTCAAATCCGGTGCTTTTATCCCGAACACAGTAGACATCACCATATGAGCCGTTCTGGATGTGCTGAAGAACGAAGTACTCCTCTCCCTCTCTGTACTGAAAATTGTTGGGCTGTAAGAGCTTAAAGAAAGAACATGAAGCTAATATGTTAAGTGGGGAAAAAAAAAAAGAAAAAGTAAAAGATCTGCATCCTGTCAGGAGGAAACAATAGAGTTTGTTTGAGCCAATGCAGAGCTTCTTTTATGTTAACACTGAAGAGTCAATGAAATGGTATTCGGCTCCATAACAACAGGAAAATATTTTCAAAATAAACAGTTGGTACATTTCCCTTAGAAACTAACATGATGAGAGGAAGATTTAGACACTTTCAGTTAACCTTTAAACAGTCAAATAAATGACAAATATTTCTATATTGAAACTTGTTTCATCATAAATACCATCATGTTACTGGTGCTGCCATAATGCTTAAAATGACAAATTAATTATCTGTTTTTTTCTAGATTTGATGTGGTAAAGGATCATCCAGTCATATCAGTGTGCGATAAATAAAAAAGATCAGTTTCCGCAGAAACGGTTCAGACCTGATGGTCCAAAACTGACCTTAAAAGTGCTTTAAAGGTCCCATATGATGCAAAATTCACTTTATAAACATTTAGTAACTGTCATATATTTCCTCAAGTCTGTGTATGAGCTTCACAAATGGAAAAACACCCCTTTCTCACTATCTTTCTCCACCTCTTAGATAATGTGTTCTCAAAACGGTTTGCAAAGCATTCCCCTGATGATGACATGTATATATATGTATACATATATATATATATATGTATACATATATATATATATATATATATATATATATATATAT